GTTCTTCCGACGTCTGATTTCTTTTTAAAAAATGCGTTTCTAAAGTGCATAAACTTTTGGGATTAACTGTATAGCCAATACATCCTTAATTGGTATCAGAGTGCGTTCAATATGAAAGCGATTTCAATTGTTATATCCAATTTATAAAATATCCCACGGGGGTTACGGCTAGTAAAACATAAATAACAATATCTTAAGAGCAGTGGTTCTCGGTCATCGTTCCTGAGTTCCGTGATCGGATAACTTGGAAACTTCTCGAGTTTTCGTCGGATTAAGTGAAATTCTATGCACACAGTCGGGAACGTTATTAATCATCTCTAATACACGTTCAGAATTATATTATAGCTCTGATTGCAATCGAGGAAACAGGCTAGCCATGCAATAAATTTTCTCCCAACTGAAGCGGATGCGCCATGGTTTTCGAGAATTAATGCGACCAGCGATGGACACATGGATAAATCTGTCTCTGGGAAAGCTTTTACCTTTTACGCGAAAGAAGAATTCACATTCGCAGGAATATTTATAGGCAGCTCCCGCTCTTTCCCCTCGTTTAAATTTACTCAAATTGAAATTAAGCTCTACGCTTTATTGAAACAGTGCTGGAAGAAGACCAGAGAATGAATTTATTAGTGTATACGTGGAGAAAAGAAGGACGACAATACGTGCAATTTTATCTACGTTGGCCACTTTGCTTGTAATTAGCCATGACTTTAGCTGTAAAACTGTTACATGGAAAGTGCTTTCGTATCTATATTTGCTTATAAAAGATCTTTCAGACGCTCCATTGATAATTTGAAACTCGTTACAGGTCATTAAAGAGACACATTTCAAATCTGGTGAGACCGTGACAAATTTGGCCGCGAGAGGATCCATATATCTTTGAACGAAATAAGAGGATAAGGGTCGCATAACACCCAATATATGTAATTACGAGTCTCATCGAGCGCCGAGTCGATATCTATAGACCGATCGGATCGGTTATTAATTCCTCGGTAACCTTTTAGCGGTACCGATATCGGACTCGTGAATTTATTGCGGTGGATGGCAGCGTAGCCCGCAACAAAGGCAGACCAATTCCGGCTTTGCCCGGAGAATTAACGACGTAAATTTATCGTCGTTGCCGCCATCGTAGGCGACTAGACTCATCTTTTGCTTTTTTTTGTAGATATGTATATTCCGGTCTGAAATATCGTCAGCGTGTTTTGCGCGCACACGCCGCGTGTCAGCGATTAATAACCCGAAAAGCCATCAGCGGCCCAACGAAAATTGGATTATGAATTCTATCCCGGTCATACAGGGAATAGGGGAAATCCGGGCATGATTGGAGCGTGGAAACAACCGGGATAGAGCAGAGGATAAAAAAAAAGAAGGGAAAAAACGTGTGACCGACGCGCTTTCCCGTAGAGGGAAGCTTTAATTGCCACGAGTCACTGAATTCTAATAAAAGAAACAGAAAAAGAGGTCTGTACATAATACAAGCGCTTCAATTTTATTCGTGCCGATATTGCAGTTATTGAATTAGAAACTTGAATAACATGAGGAAGGTTTCGTTCAAATTGTTTACAGATAATTTGCCAATTCGTGTGAACATTTATTGCAATGTTTCAATAAACGCGATGTTGTCGGGATATGAACAGTCAGCGAACGATTTTA